AAAAAAAGCTTTTTTAGCTCCTCGTGTTTTAAGGATGTCACAGTGGTGGTAGAAGTGTGTGAAGAGGAATGTAGCCAGACATCCCAGCGAGCCCAATAGCCACACAGCCAGCCCGCTACAGTCACAGTCATCTCCATCTCTCTGCAGGTTTCCTTAAATCCAACCTCATCCCCACTGCCTTCATCAATGACCCTTCTCCCGCCTGGCATCACCACTTCCTGTCATCCAACAATGATTTAAAGGTCAGGGTCACTTTATGCCCAGGCTAAAGTCAATGTGAAAGCCATTAGCCTTCCCAAGCGCTAGAAATCCCTGTTACTGTCTACTTAAATGTTTCCTCTGAAAGATTTATCAAAAAAAGTATGAATTTTAGAATACTATCTAATTATTATGACTTAATTAATTAGAGAGCTTAATTTTTAGCACAGGGAAATGATTGAGCTTGTTAATCTTTGATAAGGTATACGGAGGATGCAGGAAAAGGGTGATTAACCAGAAAAAGCATCGAGATCTAAATAGTGTGGCGCACTGGTGGGGGAGGTGATAGTTGGCCAAGAATATCGTAAGGGCAAGTTATTTAACCTCTAAGCTCCAATTGCCTCATCTACAAATAAAGATATTAATGACACCATTACCCAAGACTGTCTCTGCAATGTGTTTGGCATTATGCCTGGCTTAAAAGGAGCTAAAAAAAAAAAAGTATTAGCCAAGTTATTGCTGAAGTATCATCAGTAATGACAACAACGATGGTCTTTACCAGCAGCAGTGAGAACAGTGGTGGATAAAAGGCATGCTGTGATGTGTGTTAAGTGGACCCCAAACAGCTAGTTAACGAAAAGGTAGAGGACTAAATTAGAATTAACTGGAGTAGAAGGAAGAGTGGCCACAAGAACTGTTGTGGTTAGGATGAGGGACGGCTCCCATAGGATCACTTGTTCCAACGTATACCCCTGCTGCTGGTGGCAGTGGTTTGGGACTCTTAGTTATTGGGTGCCTTGCTGGCGGAAGAGAGTTATTGGGAGTGGGGCTTGAGGTGCCACAGCATCGGCCGCACTTTTTGTCTGTCTCTGCTCCCAACTGCAGAAGCAGGGAGACAAGATAGCTCATATTTTTTATGCTGTGCTTCCCCGACCACGATGGGTCACATCCCTTCCCATGAGCCAAAATAAACCCGTCCTCGAGTTCTTTTTGTTAGATATTTTGTCACAACTATATATGAAAACTAATATATTAATCTTGGTAGATGTTATAACTTTGCCTGGGATTCCCTATGAGGGAAACATCCTAGAATTAAATACGCGGGGCTTAAACCTTGGCTCTGTCACTTGGTATTTGGGACTTCAGAGGGTTTCAACTTATCTTGGAGTTACAGTGTCCTGATGGGACATGAGGATAACCACACCTAGACCAAAAGGTTATGCAAATGGCACACAGAGATGCGGCAAAGATAATGTGCCTAGTACCCAGCAAATACTGGTGGGTGGAGGTCTTTCCCCTTCGTGCTAGGTTTGGCAGACAGCAAAAGGGAACGAGAATGTTTATCTGGATAGGTGAGAGATGGAAGAACAAGTACCATGGGCTCATTGTTCGGGGGGGCGGGGGAGAGGGAAGATGCCACTAACTCGCTTACGGCCCTTTCCCACCCAGGAGGGTACAGTGGGGCTGCCAGAGATGTGTCCACATTCCCTCCTGTGGTCGTTCAAGGCTCCCTGCAGTGCACTGTAACCAAAGGGGAGGCATGCAGCAGGAGCAGCACAGAAGCAGGTGCCCTTATCAATAACAAATGAGATCTCAGTGCACTTGTCTTTCTGCCCAAATATGGATGACTATTTAAGCTATAAATGTCAGAGCTACTGATATTCTCCCATCGTCGCTCGGAGATGTTTACCATTCCAGTGATGCAGACAATATGTCATCTGATAGCCCGAATGAGATTCAGAATCCTTCTCTACTGTAATTGTTACTTTCCCAGATGAAAATGTAATTCCTTTGAAAAAAAAATAATCTTCCAAATCATCTCATCTCTACTCTCAATAATATTGTTTCAATGCATAATTATTTTCCTTTTTCTAAATTCAAATAATGTGTTTCCCCACATGTATTCCCATGCCAGTTCCAAGATTTTGTTTTCTTTAGGTGTTTTGAAGTAATGCTAATGTGAATTTTGACATTTTAAGTACACTTTCAAAATACTCTCCTCTGAGTTTTACCACTGTTCCTGACACTAATATGCAGTCATGTGTCATTAGTTACTTAAATGTTTTCTATAATTATGTAGATTATGTTGACACTTTCTGGTAGGATGCTTATAATTTACTATTTTGTCACTTGTGACATTCTGAAATACATCAGATAACCATTTTCAATAATTTCCCGATTAAGCGGTTGTGAAAGGCTCCTGCTGTGTTGTGGCTTTCTTTCCTGTAGTGTCGTGTCCACTGTGGGCACAGGAGGCTCGTAAGTACACAGAGTGCACAGAGTCTCTCTCTACTCTCCTATTTTTTGTCCTAGTAATGACCAAATAATATCACTGACTGTAGGATTCACAGTCAAAGAGAAATACTATTATATACAAGTCTTCAGATTACCATACAGAATATGGAAATTTATTATAATAAAGGCCTGAATAATTGTCATGGAAGAGGGAGAGTGTTGAGCTGCCCAGATGAACCTAGGGAGAGTTCTCTAAGTAAAGGATCTCTAATCTGAGTCAGGATTAAGTAGGGTTTAGTAAGTTAAAACTGGGAAGAGAAATGCTCTAGGCAGATGCTGGATTGAGCCTTGGTCAAGAATGCTGAAGAGTTAAGGATGCCTATGGTGCAGGATGCAAGCATTGTCCAGAGATACTGGAGAACTGGCAGTCATTAACAAAGGACATGGAAGCCTCATCAGAGGGTAAGTATCTGCATTTATTTTCTGTAAAAGAACTGATGTGGTCCAATTTCTTAGAATCCTAACAGCATGACAGACACATGTTTTCTTTGCTATCAGTAGCTTAAGATGGCCATAAGGGAAAGACCCCCCCCCCATGTCAACTATTCTTAGTTCAAATAGAAACTTATTCTGAGTTGTTGCTGGGTGAAATTAAGGTATTAGAGAGATAAATAAAGTGCTGGGAGCTACTTTCAGAGATATTTGAAGGAAACAATAAGACACATATGGTAGATTATCTTCACATGTTAACTGACAGTCTCCAGAAGGTCTGTGCCCCACAACTCTGTTGCCATGGTAATGCATAGCGACATGTTCCCACGATTTGGTCACTTGTTGGTGACACTGACAGAGAACCATATGTCTGACACATGGCGGCAGAGCCCTGAGAGACACATGGCACATACATGACTTTTGGTAGGTATGGCCTACCTGATCTAGATCCAGTCCAAGTGAAGGCCATGATGGAGGTTGGTAGTAAGGAGGGATGAAAGCTGTCTAACCCAAATTCAGTTAGTTTCATAATGACTATACTGAGTGGGTTTGTGTCAACTTGACACAAGCTAGAGTCCTCAGAGACGAAGGAGCCTCAGTTGAGGAAATACCTCCCTAAGATCCAGCTATAAGGCATTTTCTCAATTAGGGATCAATGGGGAGGGCCCAGCCTATGGTGGGTGGTGCCATCCCTGGGCTGGTGGTCCTGGGTTCTGTAAGAAAGCAGGCTAAGCAAGCCAGGTGAAGCAAGGCAGTAAGCGGCACCCCTCCATGGCTTCTGCATCAGCTCCTGCCTCCAGAATCCTGCCCTGTTTGAGTTCCTAGCCTGACTTTCCTCTGATGTTTGATGATGAACAGTTAAAAGCTGAATAAACCCTTTCCTCCCCAACTTGTATTATGGTCAAGGTGTTTCATTGCAGCAATGGAAAGCCTAACCAAGACGGTTACAATAGATGCTGCTGATAGAACCATAGGCAAGAGAAGCTTCAGTCTAACAATGAATCAGGTAATAAATGGATGAATATGTGAATAAATACATCATAAATTATGAGTTACAGCAATATGTGGTGCTTTAAGAAGGGAGAAGGACATGCAAGAAAAAGAAAACATTAAGTTTAAATAAAATAAAGCAAAATAATCAAACAATTAAAGAAACATAAAGCAAAAGGAAAGACAAATCAGATAAACTAAAACCATGCAATATGTCACATATAAACAGTGGATGTAGTGTATTTGTCTATTTCACACACAGACGCTCACATAGACACACACATATGCACACATACTCACATACAGACACGCGTATCACACAAGACACCCATACAATTCCCTCAAGGAACTGTCCCTTGTTCTCATACACTTCTGGGCATTCTAGGTGAATGAAGAGGAGTGGCTGGAGGAACTGTCCCCTGAGTCCTTCTCACGAGGACCTCCAGCCATGTGACAGTGCACTACCTGTCAGCCTGAGAACACACCTGCCTTGATCTCAGGGCTTCGCTCTGGCAGGGGGAACGGAAAGTGACACTTTCGAAATGTTAAAGAACCCAAGAAGAGGAAAACGGTTGCACACGAAAGAATGCCAACTGCTTTGGTCTTGAACTTTCCCAGAGACTCTACAAACACAGCCTTTCTAGTCTCAGACTGTCATGGTTGCTGCATTTCTAGGGGACAAACCTCTCATGGAAACTGGCGTGCTTCAGGCTGACCTACATGATCCCATGCAGTTAGATCAGGGTTTTTTTTTTTTTTGGTACCCCTCAGCTAGGAAAGATGGAGACTAGCAGATACCTCCCTTCCTCTCCCCACTGCCAGGTAGGTGGGGAGGACTGCAACTGGTATGGGGCAACCCACTCATCTGCGCCACACAGGGGCAATCATGCATTAAATAGCACCTCTCTCCGAGATACAATGTGAGCAACCCTCCCGCTCAGCCCTAGGAACACGTGAGTGTACTGAGGAACAAAGGGAGAACCCACAGCCAACCACCATCGGGAGGAAAATGAGATGTAAAGCGCTGGTATCCCCAGTGTGGGTACACAGGGGCGGCCCTCTAATAACACAGCGAACAGGCAGCCCTAGGCTGAGCGGCCACCCGACTGTATCCAACAAGAGCAGCTATGTACTCAGAGAACCTGCTAGCATACCAAGCCCCTTATTTTGCAGCCCAGGGCGCCCTTGTGGCAGCCCTTTACGAATCAGAAGGCAGGCATGAAGGAGTATTAATTCAGTAGGGAATCCAGCTTCTATGCCCATGTCCCAATTGAAGAAAATGCTGTTGATTCTAAACATTTAGAAAATTACCAGGTTCATGAGAACGTTGAGTAGGGTTCAGGACAAGCTAGAGAAAGACGCAAGTCTGAAATGGGTCTCTTACCTTCTTGTCGCTCAGGCCAGAAACCTGGTCCACATACTCCTCTTGGATCATGAAGGCTGCTAAGTTGGCAGTGTAGCTGGCCAGGAAAATGACAGCAAAGAAGGCCCACACTGACACCATGATCTTGGAGGTGGTCCCCTTTGGGTTCTGCACAGGGACGGAGTTGTTGAACACCAGACCCCAGAGTAACCAAATTGCTTTGCCAATGGTGAAAGATGGGCCGCCTGGCTCTAGTGTGATACAAAAGACAGGGAGAAACATTTAAGCCTGAATCACTGGATCTATGTCTATCTACAAGTACCCAGAGTTGGAAAGTTCCTGCAAGAGCAGGAGACGCCTCTGATGATAGCTTTACAATTCAAGAGCATATGCCTCTCCTGGGAGCCTGAGGAAGGCAGAAGAGGGTTTCTTAGAAGCAAATTCAGAGTCCTAGTGTGTGGGGAGAGCTTTTTCCAACTAAAATTCTTTCCACCTTCATATATTAGAGCATCAAGATCTTTTGGGTGAACGTTGGGTAACAATGACCAATTATCCCAATATGATCACATTGACTATTTTTCTTAAAATTTACCATTGTATCTAACAAGGAAGTATTTTAACTTCCAAGACATTAGCAAGAATTGTGTGAGGCCCCTTTCTACTATTACCATAAACCTTCTTGTTGAGTCTCACTAGTGCTGGATGTACTTTTGGTTACATTTTCTTTATTTTCTAGCTCTTAGCAGCTGTCTTTAAAATGACCTTGATTCTCCTAACCCCTTCAATGCTGGCCCTTCCCAACTGCTCTAATGCAGCCACAGCTTCTGTACAAGGAAGCCCAGATAAGAGACCAGTGACTCTTGTTCTGACCATGTGCATCTAGAACAGAAACATGGCTGTCCTTGACAGATGTCCGTCCGTAGGACCTTAGGGCTTCTGCCCATAAGTGATCCGTGACTTGCCTGCTGTCCTTGCTTGGTGGAGGAGAGACCTTGTGTGTTACCTGAATCTTTGTCCACACTTCTACTGCAGAAACGAATGTCTGCCCACAGAGTTTTCTGACAGATTAACAAAGGTCTTGGAACGCTGCCTGCGATGCTGACAGCATGTGCTCAGCCCGCTACATCACCGGGGACTGCCATGCTGAACTTGTTGTCTATCTGTGCAAGTACATCTGTGCGTGTGGACTCGACTTCATACAATAGATGTGCAAGGAGAAAGTTGTTCACAAAGCAGACTTTTGCAAATTGAGCAGTGCCCTAAGGAGACTTGAGCAGAGCAGTGCTGGGCTCCTCTGTGAAGAGAAGGACCCTAAAGCAACATGAGCAATCGTGAGTTCTGGTACGGAGCTGGGAGATGTGAATTTCCGTATTCTGGGTGAGAGGGCAGTATACTCTGTCTTTGGCCTTTAACAGGGCTGACCTTTGTCTACACTTTGGGGATCCTCAGAGGGTTCACACACTAGAGCCTCTCAGGTTGCAATACAGGTCACTGCTCCTAGCAAGTCTTTTGCGTGGAGTAGGGGAGTCAATGACCACACCATATTATGGAGCCATGTAGAACTCCACCTCAGAACACACAAAATATAAGGTAGGTCTGCACTTGGAAGTCCACTGGTAAAGCAGGAGCTCTCAAGATTGGACTGTGACTCTTACCCAAGCATGAATGGCATGTTTATTGAACACCGTTGCCAGGTGATCACCCTAGAGGTTATTATTAAACAGATACAAGGTGAACCTGGCTATTCTAGAAAGACCAAGGTAAATAATCACTATTTTGAAACATACAGTGTCTAAGCTTCTTTCTGGGTTTAGTAAATCAGAGACTAGATCCAAGCACCTTTGTCTTTTAAGTGCCCGTTATGCAATTCTTATTAGGACCTAAGATTAAGGAGCTGTCCTCTTGAAGGTATATTCCAGAATAACAAGAATTCTAAAAGGAAAAGGTTTAGAAGAAGCGGCACAGTTCTTAATCCTGGGGCTTTTATGAAGTTCTGAAGGAGCTATTTATCAGATTCTCAGGACTCCTTCAGAAGTTTGATGAAGTTTTCAAAAATATCAAAAGTGCTTCAAACACAAGGTCAGTTTCCCCATGTTGATGCCTACCAACTCAGGACATGAGACCCATGCTATAGTAGCTACAAGTGAGAACTGGCCTTCCGTGTCCTTTTTATTTTAAGCATGCTACTTTTATACTCCTGAAAGTACTTCTGAGTTAGTGTATGGGCCAAAGACATAGGATGTGGAGATACTGTAACTCAGTAGTAACCCTTCAACTATGGAAAGGTCCAGTGACCACAAGAATTTTCATATACCCTCTGCACAGTCTAATTTTTCTTATTCTTACTATGTGTGCATAGTCTGCCTTTTCCCTCATATTTCTCCCAATAAATTGCCCATAACCTATACTTTAGAAATAGTATCCAAACATAAGCATCTCCACTATCAATCTTTCTTCTTAAACATTGCTACACTGACACGCTAACAGTTCCCAACCTCACAGAAAGTAGGGAGACCACAGGTAACAAAGGATGGATATAATGATTCTGAGTTGTGAGTCGGGGCAGGGAAAAGGCAGAGGCACAGGAGTTCCGTGCAGCCTTACCTCTGCCATCAGCTAGGCACCTGTTGTAACCCACAGGGCTGAAGTACTCGAAGACAAAGACAGCCACGGCAGAGACAATGAGCAGCATCACAAACATCATCACCCACACGTCAGCGCTGAACGGCTCTGGGAAGGGAAGCAAAACAGTGCTCAGGGTCAAAGCAGAGAGCAAGCAGCTCGTTAGTCCCATAATCATCTGTTCATGCGAACACCTGTTTTGAGAGGAACACGCCTCAAGTGTGCCGTGTGCCCTCGGAGAGCCAGGGTTGAATTTGGAAGACATAAGATATGCTTGCGTTGCCCCTTTTATGTCTGGGCATGTAAAAATCGTTTGTTTTTGTTTTTTCCGAGACATGGTTTCTCTGTAGCTTTGAGGCCTGTCCTGGAACTAGACCAGGCTGGCCTCCAACTCACAGAGATCCGCCTGCTTCTGCCTCCCGAGTGCTTGGGTTAAAGGCGTGTGCCACCGCCGCCCTGCAAGATCTTTTTTTTTTTTTTCAAATACATAAAGACCACCATCTTGTCTGTGAGCCTTTCTGGGTTTATTGGGGGCAGTGTCTGTCCCTCTCGAAACCGTATTTGGATCTCTCAAGGAATGGTGCAGTTGGAAAAGGTGGACATAACACAGGGAAATGATATCAAACCGACTTGCTTTATGTCCTCATCCCCATGACCACACCAAGAAAGAAGCCTTCCCCAGTGCTTGTGAGCTATGTGGACAAATTCTTGACAAATGTTGGTTCTGTTTTAGGGCTGAATTGCTTTGGCAATCCTGTTGTACGATGAATAACCATGCCCCTTCACTTTTGTGTCCACACACTTCTCTCAGTGCCCAGCCTGCAGTTCCTTTTCCAGCCTACTGGTTGTGGTAGAGTCATACTAGGTATCATGAAGATATGAGAGTATAAATTAATCAGTTTTAAAAAAAAACTATCTACATTGACTCTCAGTGTCTGCAGTAGTGGACACTTCCCAGGTAACAAGGGAACAGGCATGGTTTGCGAATCCCAAAGCAGATATAATCTGATTCTTACTACTAAGCAAGGGGCTAAGGCTAGGCAAGAGAACAAGGCAGTTCTATGAATGCTTTTTTTGTATCTTTCATTGTATTTGGTAGATTTTTCCATTTGAGCTAAATCTCTCTGGTTTAGAGGGACCCATAAGTGGAACACTATCTTCCAATAAGCCATCTCCATGATGCCGCAGACACAAAAGAGTGATAGTAACTCTGTTCTGCCATACAGTGCCTCTCAATGGTGTCCCAAAATAGTTCTGGCCTTTTTAGCTGTCACATCATTTTGTAAACTCATAATCAGTGAATTAACAGGCTGGTTTCCCCTTCTTCCAAGTTATTAATAAAGATGAAATCGAAAGGGGGGAAGTTGGCTGAAAATTAGAAAATATATTTCCCATTCTGAAACCTACTATTTTATTGAACTTTCAATGGGATTATAAAAGCCCGGTCACTTAATCAATTTAAAAATACCCTTAAGAAAGCCCTAGAACTTAACACACTGCTGTGAAAAAGCAAAGCTCTCAGTGGCAGCAGGGTTCAAACCTACATGGTATATTTGAGTCGGCTTCATCTGGTGCCGGGGAAACCTCCTCCACCCTTGGCTATAACTGGCTTCATGCTGTTCTATGATTGGCCGAGAACATAATGAATGCTCCACACCTGTGATTCCTGCCCCCTCCCACTCCTGCCTTACCTAGTGTAGGGCAACTTTCTGCGAACGAGTGCACCCAACATCTTTATCCATCTTTACAAAAGGACTTTATAAAGGACGACCCCCACGCACCAGTGTTTATAATTCTTCCCATGGGCTTTTTATTACTGGGTGGCTCTGTTTATTTTACAGGAAACCAAGTGTGAGAGGGCCGGGTTCTTTCTACATTCATGCTCAGAAAGTGGCACTCGGGGTAGGAATTGAGGTTGCCCTGAAACACTGCCTAGAATTTCCCACAATATTATGCTGCATACGTGTGTCTGTCCACCACAGTTGCCCCAGATTGTGCAGCCCACTGGAACATAGGCTATGATGACTACCATGCCTGGGCTTTATCGAAGAACTTCTGGAAAATGCTCTATCATGGATAAGAAGATTGGCTAAGAAACTTAAGTCACTTATAGAAAAATTTTATAGAATCTATAATTCCATTTAGTGGTACATTAATTGAATTATTCCCTCACAGACAGAATTTAAGTAACAGCTAGTCATTGTCTCTTCTAATATTCCTATTTTAAAAATGTCCTTCCCCTTATAGAGATTATTACTAGTCCAAAGACTTATACCTTGTTTATGACCACATAGGGCTTCATGTCTCTTAGTTCAATGTTCCGCTCTGTTTCTAAACCCTGGCTCAAATATATATATGATATAAATATCATATATATATTATGAGCTCACAAAAGACCTCATTTAATTGAAGTTGTTGCCTTACCTCACCCATTCTTAAATCATATCTAAAGCTTTTTACATCTGAGAGGTGCTAGAGAGTGGGCAAGCAGAGAATGGGATTGGAGAAGAAGGCAAGAAAGGGGGTAGGAAGAAGCATCAGCTGAGCTCTGGCTAGGAAAGTCTCAGAAAACTCACGTGACAGCAGAAAATGTTTGTGTGTTTATAGGAGTGTTAGCCCTAAGCTCAATTCTTACGATAATTAAAAAATAAATAGGTCTTTCAATGAGGCTGTGATATGAATGAAAATGGCCCCATGTATTTCCGGCTTTGTCCCCAGTTGATAAACTGTTTGAAAAGGATTAAGAGAGGTGGCCTTGTTGGAGGAGGCCTGTCACTAGGAGTAGGCTTTGATGTTTCAAAAGCCCATTCCAGGCCCAATTCCTCTCTCTTTTAAACACCTCCTACCTATGGATCGGGATGTAAAGCTCTCAGCTGTTGCTCCAGCGCCATGCCCGTCTGTTTCCCGCCATGATGATAATGGACTAACTCTCCAGGTTTCTAAGCAAGACCTCAATGAAAGACTTTCTTTTACATGAGTAGCCTTGGTCATGAGATCTTTCCACACCAATGGACTAGTAGCTGATACGGAAGATACCTAGACTTAGAAATCATTGCAGAATGACATCTTAGAAGTCAGCTAATTGAGATGCCCTATTCTGTGGATGAGGAAAATGGAGCCCCAGGAAGAACAAATTTTCTCAAGGTCAAATGAGCACTAAGTGATAAAAAGGGGACCATATGGGACTTGTGACGACCGTTCTCATAGTGTTTTCTTGTAGGGTAACACGTCTCCCTGATTTCTAGATGTTTTTAATTTTTTGTGTTTAAGAATAACAAAGTACCCCAAAAGAATTCCCCATTTGAATTAAACTCTCAACAAACCATGTCCTGACATTGTTTCTCATCCCTGCTGCTTGTCCTTGAGTTCCTTTTCTGTCATCAATAAGCATGTGATTTACCTAAGAAGGCAGAAGGTGACACGGTCCCATTGCTGCGTGATACCATGACACTGATGCCGGTCTCTATGAAGGGCACAGAGAAGTCGACCACCTCTGATCGCTCTTCATTGATAGTTAGTGACCCCACTGCCATGTAGGCCCTCTTCATGACCACCTGAAGAAAAAGGCACAATGCTCCGATTAGAATGTTAGTGAAGGCAGGTCTACCATAAGCAAAATTTCCATGGCTCAGCAGTAACTTGGGCACCATCCCCAGAATACCACTCACCTCCTCTGTGGGTATGTTGTTGGCCCAGAGCTCACCAATTTAGCTGGACTGGGTGGCCACCAGCCCCAGAAATGCTTCCCAGCACTGGGATTATAAAACACACATCGTTGTCCTTGAAATTTTATTTTGGTTCTGGGGATCAAGCTCGGGTCCTCATGATTATGAGGTTAGCACATTACTGGCTGAACTATTTCTCCTTCTCTCTCATTACCATTTCACATGGTGTTAAATTCTTAAGATAAACTTTTTACAATATTTAAGCAAAACATACGTGCACAATGGAAATGACCTTGTCATGACCTTGCGTCCTGATACCAACCTCACCAATCATGCCATTCCAGGTCCCGTTAATCTTCTTCCCATGCTTGCCATTGGTCACCAGGTAAAGGTCATAGGTGAACTTCACAGACTTAGAAATTTTCTTCAGGATGTCAATACAGAAGCCCTTGCAGCATTTTTTGATGTAGCCTGGCTCTTCATCTGTTTTATTCCTACCCGGTTACAGGAAGAAACAAACAAACAAAGCAAGACTTGGTGCAAAAAGGAGAAATTACTTTTTCATTAAAACTCCAGCCTCCACTTCCACCCCCACAGTACAGTTTATTCTTGAGTAAGGAAAGGGATCAGACCTAGAGCTGTGGTACTTTTTATTGTCTCAGTATCCTGAGCCATACCGTGGCACAAGTTTCAAGGTTCCTTTGAAATATAACATAAATGAAGGAAAGGCATGTATCCTACTGGCTCAGCTTAATGAATTCCTCATTGAGTTCATGGTTTTTATGAAAGCCTAAGTTCAGGTACAAATGCCTACCAGATGCGGGGAGACTCTGCATTTGTCCCCTCAAGATGCTTGCCTCCCCCCACATCTAAGGGCATTGTAACCCCAAATTTTGATAGCATAAACCAAGTGGAATTGTTTCAAAAAATAGATCTAATTCTCAAAACGCCAGCTTTGAGAGAACATACTAGAAACTTTAAAGCCAGTAGACGAGCTCCCAGTCACTGAGTCTGGGCAAAGTCAAAGGAACCTTAACAGAGCAGTCATTGTCTCAGGTCAAGGTTTCAGATAGAGCCACACATCTAACCAAAGCTCCTACTGATTCTACAGTTCTTGGTAGCTGAGAATTTTCCAGGATGCCTAACTCCATGTCAGCAAACAGCACAGCTAACTCCCGGGCCACCCATAACCATCCATCTGGGGAGGTGCCATACTCAGAGATGATGCGCTTCTGGCAAGGGACTGTGTTCCTCATGCAGGTTCCACTGAGAGGGTCCACACTTTCCACAATGACAAACGGCGCCTCCTCCAAGGTCACAATGCTCAGATGGTCATCCTCCTGCTCTTCGGTTTCAGGGCACATTCGAGGCCACACGTAATATTTCATCTGCAGGGACTTGTCTTTCCATTTCCCCACCTGCACAGAGATGAAGGAAGGACTCAGCCACCATCAACCACCATCCATCACCTCTCCCAATCTTCTCTGAATCATCTCAGAAACGGTTAAACAACTGCAAACCAATACCAGCATAGCATACAATGGAAAAATACTTCCCAAAACAGATGTTGAAAATGAAATGGCTGTAATCATTTAATTCACTTCCCCTTCACTCAGTATTGAATTAGGACCTGCAATGGTCGGAGCACCCTCCAAAACCCCATCACTCCTGTATCAAGAGCTGTGAAATTTCTGGATTTCTTGGGTCATGTGGTTGTGAGGTTTGTTTGTTTGTTTGTTTTACTCAGCTAAAATAACAAACATAATCTTGAGATCAGCACAGAGTATTAGGAAAGAGTATAAGTAGAGAGAGTGCCTTTAGCTAATGAGCTAGTCGGATGTGCTGAGTCGTACCTGAAGTTCACTGGGGAATTATTCAGAGATCTATGAATCTCTGATTTAGAACATTATGTTGTGAAGAAGGAATACAGACACTACTTGCTTGGAGAAGGGCGTGTGGTTGGGCTGGCAACAACTGCATGTGTCAAGGCAGGGTTGCACCTGCTGGACTAAGATGACAGCCTGGGATGAAAGAGATAGGGTCTCTCTGTGAGCAGCCATTGGGGCCACAAAGACCATGCCACCCATGATGGGAAAGCCATCATCATACTGTGGAAAGTGTGCCGTATGTACAGTCCCTGGATCATACATGGCAGACCTGCTACCAGTTGCCGTGTGTGCATTCCCTGGATCATACACGGCAGACCTGCAGTCAGTTGCCATGAAAGATGGGAGGGCTCATCTGCCTTGTGACAGAGGCCTTCATCTATGATTTTATGTAGAATCCATACAGTTTTGTTGTTGGGTTTTTGTTGCCATGGTACCACTGAGTTTAAAGGGGGGAAAGAAATAATTTTAATTTTCAAATAACTGAGCATCTTCAGTTGTCACGAGGAAATAAGCTATCTTTACAGTCTATGGTTTCTTTCATGTAGTTAGGGTGATCCAGGCAAGGTACCAACCCATGAGACTAGTTTATGAAGTTCCAGATGTGAGTGAGAAGCAATGTAGCCACAGACTAACTTCACTTTCAAACACACAGGCACATGCTGTGGGACAATGGTCTTTTATACTGTCACTTGTATTATCTTTAATAAAATGCTGATTGGCCAGTAGCCAGGCAGAAAGTAGAGGCAGGGCAACGAGAACAGGAGAATTCTGGGAAGAAGAAAGACACAATCTGCAGTGCAGGACAATTGTCTGTATTCTGTCAATCATGTTTTAAATAAACGCTGATTGGCCAGGCAGGAAGTATAGGCGGGAAAACCAGACAGGAAGTAGAAATGATGCAATGAGAACAGGAGAATTCTGGGAAGGAGGAAGTTGATTCCTCCCACTCCTGCCCAGACTCCAAAGAAGCAAGATGTGAGCTGCCCTGATGAGAAAGGCACTGAATTATATGGCTAGCCTAAATAAGTACAATGGGTTAATATAAGCTACAAGAGCTAATATGTAGCCTTAGCTAATGGGCCAATCAGTTTTATAACTTATAGAGATATCTGTGTGATTTTCTTTGGGGCTAAACAGCTGTGGGAACTGGGCAGGACAGAAACCCTAACAAGCAAGCCAGCCCTTCGTGTTGTTACACTGCAGTTGTCACCGAGACAGAGAGGAAGCAAGATGAGAATGCCTTGCTGATGAAAGGTACCAAGCCATGTGGCTAACACAGACAGGAATAATGAGCTAATATAAGATGTAAGAAAAAGTTAATAAGAAGCCTGAGCTAATAGGCCAATCAGTTTATGATTAATGTAGACCTCTGTGTTTCTTTGGGACTGAAGGACTGTGGAACTGGGCGGGACAGAAACCTTAGCCAACAGGCATGGACTCCTATACTATAACATCTTAGTCCCTGCTTTTGTCTCACTTAAGGGTGGTTGGTTCCTTCCTCTAGCTCATCCCACAAAGCAGCTCACTCTACTCCCACTGACAAATTAGGTCTGCACCGCCTTGCCTTTTCATCATTTATAACTTGGGTGCTGATTTTGTGTCCCAGATGATCTTGTTTGGCAATTGCAGGATTTTTTTTTTTTTTTTTTTGGCATTAACTCTGGTGCTAGCTATTTTGGTTTTTATCCCCAAGCTATTTTGTTTCTAGATTCAGAATTAAGCATTGAACCCAATGCTTTCATTCTTTTATGTGTATAGATGCACCATGACCTCTGATGGGATTATGACCTAATAAGCCTATCATAACTTGAAAATGTATTGGCCACTCTTGACCTACCATATACCACCAGTCTCAAATGAAAACATAGCTACACACACACACACACACACACACACACACACACATACACACACACCTGCACACATAGAGAAGATAAACACACAACTGCACACATAGAGAAGACACACATACACACACCTGCACACATAAAGAAGATAAATAAAATAAAATGAAACATGGCTTTTTTTGAATGATGAATGAAACATCACTTTCAGGTCCTCACAAAGTTGAAAAATCACAAGCTGTCCTAAGGTGGAGACTGCTTGCTCTTCAATAAACTACTGATCTTGCTGCAGATCTGTTCACCTCGTGGTGCTAAGGATGTCTCCAAATGGCCTCCCAGACACTTGAAGAGCCTTGGAGAGAGAAAATACATCCCTGGAGGTCCAGTGAATCTCATACATTCTCAAGAAAGACTATTTACTCCAGGGTCAAAGCAATATTATTTTATGTGTGCTTGATTATGTGGGAAAGGTTGAAAAGCCTTAAAGTGCCTTTGTTTATTTATTTATTTATTTATTTATTTATTTATTTATTTATTATTTATTTTTAAGTCCTATCATCTTTCCTCAGTAAGTCCTTTGGACTTTTTTTTTCTTCTAAGTCCAATTGTATTCTTATGTCTTTATCACAACTAGCCTATACCAGAGAGGTCTTGCCTTGTAACTTCTGAGCTCACATGGTGCCCTCCGTGAGGATGCTATAGACACTGCTTCCAGGTGACTTTCTTACATCATAACTTGGAACATTGTGGATTAGATTAGCTGCAGAATGCTTTTCAGCACAAACATGAAGACCTGAGTTCAAATCCCCAGTATGCATCTGCTATCTATCCCAACTCTGAGGAAGCAGAAAGAGGTAGATCCTTAGTGTTCACTGGCAAGACAGCCTAGACTAATTTAAGAGCTTCAGATACCATAAAAGAGCCTGTCCCAAAAATAAGGTGGAAAACAAATAAGGAAAGAACCCACTGTCTTCTTAAAGCCTCTGTACATATACATGCACATGTGCACACACCAACATAAAAACACACATTAGACAGACAGACACACACACACATACACCTCATGACTTTGTCATACAATGTCCATTCAAATATTTCAACAACTTCCCCCTGTCCTTAGCATTGTGCCCAAATGTCTCACCTACGTGTTCAAGTCCTGTGTGTGAGCTCAGCCCACATCTATTTAATAAACTTCAGTGCCATAGATTGTGAATCTCAGAAAAGGAATTCATTTGATTTAGGGATGCTCAACATAGGCCAGCCAGGGACAGACTGTAAGAAAACGGTGGCGATTCCTTTGCTAATAGACTTACTCTATCTGTGGAAGAGGACGCTGTAGAGAGAGAGTCTTGGCTAAGTTTCCCCTGACATTTTGTGAACAAGATGAACTACAACATGGATCACTGCAAACTTTGACAGACTGAGAAGAAGTTTACAAAGCTATAACCCAGAAGAAAAGAAAAGATTGTTTAATGAATCAATGACAACACACAGAGAGGTCTCTAGTGACATGTCGGGGGACTTTGCTCTTAGAAGTGACCTATATAGTGTTTAAGAGAACAAAACTGAAGTTGTGCTCATGAAATTGCAGACAATAATAACCTAGTGAGGACAGATGATATAAACTGCTGAATCAAGATTGGAAGAGATGCAAATTAATTGGAATGATGGATTGAACCAAATGGAATAAAACGCAGTGTTATTTATTCTGAAACTCTAGCATTCATATTTTTTTTCAAAAGCAACTGTTCTGAAAAGAGGCATTTCAATCAATGGTAGTCTGTGAAAGCTATTGTAATAAGAGATGATGTATTTATAGATGTACAGTGTCTAGCACATGGGGTGAAGAGAGGGTGCAGATGACTCCCTTCTGTGTTCACAACACCCCAGCAGGGAAACTCAGCTCTCATCCTGCAATTCTGTGATCTCCTGGCTTTTTATTAAACAGGCCATTCTTACTTCCCCAACAATAAGTTGTTCACGGAATCCTCTTGCACACCCTTTCTAAGACCAGCAGGATCACGTCTCTGTTTCACATCAGTTCAATTCAATGCTAATTACACACCAGTATGTTGCAGGCACTGGGTCACATGCTAATAGACAGCAGGACCACATGATGCTTATTGGGGGATGAAAGGTGTCAGGCTTTGAGCTCATCTGATAGTCTAATAATCTCATTTATCATCATAGCTAATCTATGAGATAGCCTCCCCATTGATACCTCCGTCTATAAAAGGATTAGCTGGCTTCTAAGATAGAAAACAGGAGAAGTGAGTGTTATGTGCAAAGTCAGGACTTGAAGCCAAGCAGTATGACTCCAAGGTTGAGCTCCTCTCATGAATGATCTCCCAACTCTTTGACAGTAAAAGAGTAAGACACATGCCCCTTGTGAGGACAACCCTGAAGGGACCAACTTGACTGATGATATCAAGTGAGGCTTTGACTCTCACCTCCAAGGAAGGTATTAATAAATTCTTTGGCATTCAGAGTAGAAGTGTTCATTTTAATAAAAGCCACAGAGAAGTCTCACAGAGAACCCCCTTTCGACCTGGACTTTAAAACCTAACTCATAGCTCCTGAAGTAGGAAGGTCTCTGTTCCCTGGACTAGCTTTATTCTCTTCTTCCTAAAGTCCTAACCATCATTACTATGCAAGCTCTGCTACTATCAACAGGTCCCTCACCAG